TGATTGCTGCCTCCTGTACAATGTCATAAACCTCCATCCATACTTCTTCAGGCACTCTGTCTATCAAATCTAGTCAAACCTATTGTTCACCTCCACTGTATATTCATCAGTGATATGCTCTGGGTCAAACCTGAATGGCCTAGTGGTTTAAGAACATAAGAACATAAGAGACGCCAATGTTGGATCAGGCCAAAGGCCCATCCAGTCCAACACTCTGTGTCACACAGTGGCCAGAAATACCAGTGCCATCAGGAGGTCCAGCAGTGGGGCCAGGACATTAGAAGCCCTCCCACTGTTGACCCCCCCCAAGCACCAAGAAGACAGAGCATCACTTGCCCCAGAGCCCCTAGCTATACCTTGTGGCTAATAGCCACTGATGGACCTCTGCTCCATATGCTTATCTAATTCCCTTTTGAAGCCGTCCATGCTTGTAGCACCCACCACTTCCTGTGGCAGTGAATTCCATGTGTTAATCACTCTTTGGGTGAAGAAGTACTTCCTTTTATCCGTTCTAACCCGACCGCTCTGCAGTTTCATGGAGTGCCCACGAGTTCTTGTATTGTGAGAAAGGGAGAAAAGTACCTCTTTCTTTACCTGCTCTTTCCCATGCATAATCTTATAAACCTCGATCATGTCACCCCTCAGTCGTCTTTTCTCCAAGCTAAAGAGCCCTAAGCGCTTTAACCTTTCCTCATAGGGAAAGTGTTCCAACCCTTTTATCATTCGAGTTGCCCTTTTCTGCACTTTTTCCAAAGCTACAATATCCTTTTTAAGGTGTGGTGACCAGAACTGCACACAGTATTCCAAATGAGGTCTCACCATTGATTTATATAGGGGCATTATGATATTGGCTGATCTGTTTTCAATACCCTTCCTAATAATCCCCAGCATAGCATTGGCCTTCTTTATTGCAGTCACACACTGTCTCGACATTTTCAGTGAGTTATCCACTACAACTCCAAGATCTCTCTCTTGATCAGTCTCTGCCAGTTCAGACCCCATCAATGTGTATTTATATTTAGGATT